GGGGAAGCAGGGAGGGGGGAGGGAAAGAGGAAAGGAGGGAAGGAAGGAGGGAAAGAAAAAAGAAAGAAGGAAAGGACAGAGGAAGGAAGAAAAGAAGGAGAAAAGGAAGGGAGGGAGGGAAAGACAAAGAAAGAAAGAGAAAGAAAGAAAGAAAGAAAGAAAGATCTTAATGCTTCACAAAACAAACACTAAAAAATTAATACTGCCAGAGGGGCTTAAAAAAAAAAGGAAAAACCTTCAGACAGACAATGAGCCCAAAGGGACGGCTCAACTTCCCCTACCTTGTTACTAAAAAGCAGATGTGATGGGTAGAACCCCACAGCATTATAATTAAGCTCAGTGAAAGAGCCAGGGGGCCATCTAAGCCTTCTCCAAAGCTTGCCCCAGTGGTGATTCTGCAGCCCTTCTGTGGGTACTGTTCCAGGGTTTTAAGTGACTGCCAAAAACATTTTCCATACTTTTAGAGTACACTTCTTGTGTTTCATACCGGACTCATTCTTTCCCTCTACAGCCCCGACGAGCAAGGAATCCACCTGCCACTCAACATGCAGCTGTTTATTTTTCTTTGTCCAGCCATGCTTCCAATTCTAGCTTTGGCCTCAGCGGATCTGTGATTTCAGGGATGCAGGCATTCCCTTCAACAGTACAGGCCACTTTCCTGCCCATTCTGCGGGACTTTGACCTGTCTCATCCTATAAGTTCATCACAGTGGGGCCTTCTTCATGTTCTCTTGCTATTGAATGGGTGCCATTAGAGCATGGGGGTCGTGTGACGGTTGTGTTTCACTGTTACACTATATTAGTACTAGGGGCACTCATCTTTTTTTTCCTCCAATTTTCCCCCAATCATGCCTTTAATGACATCTTTCACAGCATCTCTCCCATCTGATTCCTTGTTTGTAGAGAAGGCAGCCTCTTCACACTCACCAAGAAATCTCCGTTGCTCTTTGGGTAATGGTCAACTTTAATCCTTTGGAGACTGCAACATTCCATGACTCACATCCATACACTTTTTAATCTGTCTTTAGAAGCAAGGTGTCCACTCATGACTCTCCTCATTTTTATTACTCCCATCTGTACTCACTCCAAGATCCCCGCAAAGACACAACCTTCCCTCCTTGGGCCTCAACAAGCACTTTGTTTAAGGCTCCTCAGCAAAGGCTTGGGGCTGGAAGGAGCTCTGAGGACAATCACATTTGTCTGGCTGGAACAGAAGGCTAATGTCAGAAGAGAATGAGAAATAAGTCTGGATAGGCAGGGTCAGACCAATTTGAAGAGTATGTTGAATGCAGGGGCCTTCCCCTCTATGGTTCACTCTGCACTCATCATTGCATACCCATTTTATGTACAAGTTGGTAGAATGTCAAGTACCATCGAGGGCACGCTCTGAGTATTTTCTCTTAGTGTAGTGACTGGCACCATGATAGATGAGGGTTTCTTGATTGATTCATTGACTGCCGGGCTAAGGACAATAGACTTTATTTGGTTTGCAGTGGTAATTGTTGGATTGGAAACATGAATCAGGGGAGTGACTAGGTATCTTTTTGGAATTTGAGTGAATCTCTCCCAACTATCATGTGCCTTGAGACAGGTACTGCCTTTTGTCCCATAAGCACCCCAGTGCACAATATGTACTTGGGAAATGTAAACAACAATGAACTAACAGAGAAAAAATAAGAAGAACAGAAGGACTTCTCTGCCCCTAGGACTTCTGTGAATCATGGGAACTTTTTTGATTTGTAGCAGTTTGCTTGGAGATCTCTTTCAACAACTTCTTGTAAGTTCTCATTAGCACTTTCGGTACTCTGCTTTTTCTCCAGAAAGCCCAGCTCAAGTCTCCCTTTTCCTGGAAGTCTTTCCTGGCTATTCCCCTCCTTAATTTGTCCCACCTCTCAGTTCTAAAAATAATAATAGCTACCATTTATATAGCACCAGATATGAGCCAGGCACCATGCTACGTGCTTTACAGATATTATCTCATTTAATCTTCACAACAACCTTGGGAGGCAGGTGCTGTCATTATTCCCATTTTACAATTGAGGAAACTGAGGCACACAGTGGTTAAATGACTTGCCTAGGGTCACACAGCCAGTGATATTTGAACTTAAGTCTTCCTGACTTTATGCCTGGTACTCTATCCACTGAGTCAGCTAGCGGCCTCATAGCCCTTCTGCTCATGCCGATGAGAATCACAGCATACTAAAGTCCAGAGGGGCCCTAGAGATCATTTAGCTCAACCCCCACACTTTACAGCGGAGGAAATTGAGACCTAGAAAAGGCAAGTATCTACCCCAAGGTCATACCACAAAGCTAGCTAAACAGCAGAGTAAAGCCTTAAATCCAGGTTTCTGACTCCAAAGCCTATGCAGTACTTTTCATGACAGCATGCTTTTCTCCTAATCATTTGGCCCATGTCACAAATGATCTTCCTCATTTCCCATATCTACTCAGTTGCCAAGTCTTGGCTATTCTACCTCCACGACATCTCTCCTATCTGCCTCCCTACTTCTCCATTTACGTGGTCTACCAGCCTAACTAGATTTGGTCCTCATATCTTCTGTCTGGACTACTTCAACAGCCTCTTTCTTCACCGGCCTTCCTGTTTCTGTTCTCTTTCTCCAATCCATCTTCCACACAGCTGCCAAAATGATTTAATCATCTGACCATATCCATCCATTGCTCCAAAATCTTCAGAGGCTCCCTATCACCTCTAGGGTAAAATTAAAGTTCCTCACCTTGGCATTCGAAGTCTGTCATGGTGTGGCTGTAGCCTATTTACCAGACTTGTTTCACATTGCTCTCGTTTATAGGCTCTATACTCCAACCAAAATGACGTACTTGCTGATCACCAAACTTGGCCTTACATCTCCTACCTCCCAAGTCTTTATACAGACTCTTGCTGCTGCCTGGAATGAACTCTCTCCCCTTTCCTCTGTGCCTCAAAATCTTCTATTTCATCAAGGCTCTCCTTCAGTGTCATGTCTTCCAGAATCTTTTCCCAATTTCTACAGCAATTAGTGCTCCTTGAATTATCTTAATTATCTATGTAAATATTATGTACCCCCAGTAAAATGTAAGGGAACAGGGACTGTATTTTTATTAGGTTTTTGGAGCCCTAGGACAGAGAATTATGCCTGGCATGTAGTTGTCTCTTAATAAATGCTTACGAAATGACTGAATGATCTTGCACTGATATTTCATTATCTTTGGGAAACAGTTCAGCGCAATGAAAAATGCATTGGTTTTGGAGGCAAAGGAGCTGGGTTCAAATCCTGGTTCTGCAAATCAAGTCAGATCAATAAATCGAAGAGCATTTATTAAGTGTCTACTTTTTGACAGGTACCATGCTAATCTCTCTGGACCCCGATCTCTCCTTCGGTAAAATGAGGGGTTTGGACTAAATTGCCTCTCAGGTCCCTTCCAACTTTAAATCTATGATTCTCTGTGTTTTCAGTCTTACATTCTCAGCTTGTGAGTTTCTCCAAAGTAAGGGACCATGCCCTGTGCATGTGTGTATTCCCTTCAGTCTCTATTGCAGTGACATGCACATTCTAGGTTCCCAATAAGGATTTTCTTGTTCGGTTGACTCCTCTCCTTCTCCATTCTCACTCAAACAGACAAAGGACCCAGTCTTCTCCTCCCTTGGCTCCTCTCACAGTCTTCATGACTAAGCTTGCCTCCAAGGCTAAATGACATTGTGCCCACCTTCTCCTCCACCCCTTACTGCCACCCAGGCTCAGTGTCTTGTATATAAAAAAGGACAAAAAAATCACCTTATTATTTTTGAGATTGGAAGTTGGGTTTTGAGCAGGGCTCAGTTGTGATCCCTACTCCATAAGGAAAGGATCCATGTATATCTGTTTAGACCAATCTATCTCAGGTACTCTATCTGGGGGTATCCCATGCTCACATTCTAGCGAAAGAAAGGTTCATTAAATCATAGATTCCTAAAGTTGGAAGTGACTTCAGGGGACATTGAGTCCAAGGCAGTAATCTCCTTGAGGGCAGGACTGTCTTTTGCTTTTCTATGTATCCCAGTGCTTGGCATAGTGTCTAACACATAGTAAGCGCTTGATAAATGTTTATTAACCAACTGATTGAATGGCAACTCTCCACTGGAGAACACTGGGGAGATGGCTTCTTGGAAAATCTTGATAACATGTAAAAGAAATGATGTGGAGAGACTGGGGAGCATGTACAGACATTCTGTAACTGGTTCTGCTTGATTAATTGGTTCCATTGATTTAAGTGGAGATTTTTCCCATCGATTGCATAGCTGGAACTATCAACGTTTTCAGAAAAGGCCTGAGTCAGCTTTAGCTACCTCTTGACCTCATTCATATCTGGGAAGAACTTAGTGACTTCCTCTCATGATGTTCAGTGAGAAATTCTGCTATAAGGGACAAAGCCTCAGGGCCTTCATCTCCTCTGAGGACATTTGACCTCCTAGAAAGGGCCTAAATACTTAGTCTTGAGTCTCCAACCTTGGTCAGGAGCATGAACCAGAATCAGAACCCAGGTGTTATAGCCAGCCCAGTATCACCAACCCAAGGAACAAGTAGCCAGGGAGGACCTTCTGGACCCCAGTCCTTTAGAAGGAATCATCTGTCTGTCAAGTTACATCTGAACATAAATTTGATGGACCAATGCTAAATAGGAACTAAGCCTA